TTATCAAGATCATCAACTAACCAAGTATCAAACCAAAGTTTCACCAATCTAGGAGCCCATCAGCTGTATTCACCTGTAGAAGCCACAGGTGAATACAAACCACGGGTGGTTTAGCTAGCAGCTATCTGAGTCCTTGCTTTTTATTCAACATCCATTGTTAATGAATGTATGTAAATGAAATCAAGCCAGTAGAAACTTTTGCTTTCTACATAAGCAGAATAAAATGTGACTTGTTAATAGAACTCCAACTCCAAACAGAAACCAGAGCTTCCAGTATCAGAGCTCACGTTCTGGACATGCAGAGACATCATTTTCATAAAGAGCGATCTGTTTGCAAGGTTCATGAATGGACTTCAGACAGCTTCTAGATAAGTAAGTAGCTACATGTTTTAGTCTGAATATTTTTGTGAGTGAGAGATTTCTGTTTTTCGTAAATGTGCAAAGAAATCCGTTAAGGCCTAGACACAAAGGCCTATAGATTGGAAGGTGACTGCCTGTTAACTATGTGTACTGTGTATACTCTGATCGATGAGAAAGTGGTTTTTGGCTGTCGTTAAGTGAAAATGGTTGCAGAAAACGTGTATGGTGTTGCAGCACAGACCTTGTGATTGCTTTGGTCACAGTTTGCCACAGTTCCCCGTGGAAGATGCCAATTTGTCTGCAAACACTAACGAACCACAGAGCCATAGATCAAAAACAGCAAGTTTGCCTGTCAATATAAAAGTTGCCTGTTTTGAATTGTGTTGCTTGTCAGCAGTAAGACACAGCCTCCATTTTCAGTTTGTCACACTTTTTTTTTTATGTTTTCCTACCGCACGGCTAGTAGTCGGCTGGTGTTTGCAGATAAATCGACATCATCCATGCAAACTGTTTCAACCTCCAGCAACCACTCACTAACCAGTCAGGGAATATGCATGTATAACTGGGGAATGGTGGTTGCAAGGGGGTCAGCCACTGTCTCTGACTGAGGCCTTAAATGGAGATGTATGAAAAAAACGTGCATATGCCTGCTGTGGTGAGCCCGTGGGGCAACCAGCCAACAGTAACTTTTATTAACACTGTAAATAAGACAAGGCTGAACTTTAGACCGTTGAAAACCCAAACAGCCAAACATTCCTATATGGTCCGTACTTGGTGATGGTGGGAAGGCAGAACTCCCTTATAAAAGGAAGAGACCTCTACAGGAACCAGGCTGAGAGAGGGGCAACCATATAATTTACTCACGCTTGATTTGTTCTCCTCAAACTTCAAATCTGCTCTAAAGTTGCTCTAAATAAAGGTGCTGCTCTCACAGCTTCAACAAACTACAAGGCTGGTGTTTCAGCTTTATTCACTTTCTCCTGCTTTGCTGTTGTTTTCTGCTCTTTCTCATCTACTTCTAGGTGTTTATAAAAATCTTAACATGGAGGTTGGTTGCCATTTTACATCCACCTGTTCCTGCATTAGTTTGCAGATTAGATTGAAGACTTGTGCTCGTTTTTAGATTCGTCATTGTGCTCGTCCCTTTTATGTTTGCTATTTTTTAACACTCCCTCTTCTTCACTTTTACTGAAAGCAGTTTTTATAATTCAAAGGACAGTTAAACACTCTGTGGATTAAGTGTGAGTGGCCGAGTGAGGTAAATCGTCCGTGTGTTTGAAAGGAAAAGAGACTGAGAGCGTGTGTGAGTGTGTAACGGGGAGAGAGAGAGAGATGCAGAGCGAGGTGTAGTCAGACTGAAGCCCTCTGATTGACTGTGATGTTCAGTCAGATGCTGAGCGGCTTCACATCACAGTCAAACCTCCATCCTTTCGTCTCCCTGTTCATCGGAAACATCTCGTTAGGATAAATTCAACTGTTCGGCTCGGTGCCCGGTGTCACAGGTAAGTTTATATGCAGCTTTTTATGCACCTGTAGTTTCACCTATTATTGACCTACAGAGATGTCCATTATAGTTAAGCTCACGTAGAAATGTTGTTAGACAATTCCAAGATTTTTGTTCCAGGAATTTCAAGGAATTTCTGGATAAATCTGCAACTGATGGAATTAAAATGTATTAAACAAAAAGTACGTTTTTACTTTTTGTGTGTTTTGCACATGGGCAGTAAACTGTGTCAGCTGTCATTCATGTGCTTTTTATTTTAGGATTTTAAATGTATTTGTCATCTGTTTTTCCCCTTTTTTGTTAACAGTGTTTACTTTGAAATCACCAAGAATTAACAATTCATTATCTGAATATTACATAATGATTTACATATACATTTAATATATGAAGTAGACTGAATACTTCCTTTCAGTAATAAAAAAAATTATTTTTAGGAGTTTTTTCATCAAATTTAAATGCAGGGATGTGTCATTAAAAAAGTCCGCTTTACACTGGATTATATTCTTTACTCACTGGAGATAAATAGTCTGAAGCTGTTTGAATTTTGTTTCTTGAAATTATTTTTAATATTAAAACATTCAAACCTTTAAAACATTCAAATCTTTAAATAAATCATACAAATTCTTTGACGTGATTGTGTATCACATAGAAATTTTTACCATAAGTGAAAATGTGAATGTGAAGAGATGTATATATGCTTTCTGTCAAATTCAGTAATTGCACCTATGTAAAATAATTTTCTTAAAATGTTTGGGTTGTAATTTCTATTAAA